ATAGAATTTATGCGTCTATATGTAGCGCTAATATATGCCTGAAAATTAGAACAGCACGCTAGGCATGCTGGGAATGTGTTCTAAACTTGGCCAAAAGCCAAAACAGTCAAGCCCTGAGTTATGCATAAATATTTGCGTTGGAGGAACGCGTGCACTTTTTTTCCCGATTTTTGTTTTCAAGTTTTTCTGTTTGGTTTTATGGCAAAGAAGTTTTGCGTTGGCCAGGTTAAGCGGCATTTTATTTATTTTTATAGCATTTCTCGTTAGCTTTTTATATTTTTCATTTTTATTTGTTTTTTTTTTTTTTTTTGTTTTTTAGCACTTGTTCGCTTCGTTCGTTTGCGCCTCTTCTTACACTTGGCTCTCGTTGCGGGCTTTTTATTGCCCCGTTTTATTTTTTTTGTTAGGTCTTTATTTTCGTTTTGCTTGTATCTGTGTGTGTTTGTGTGTGATCAAAAATAAACACGTCCAGCGCGCACGAGCTGTACACAACGACTGAATGAGACTAGCTTAGACACGCTTTAAGCCAAGTTATTTCCAGTGCAGCGCAAAGCTCTGGAAGCGCCACTTGCCGACGTCATCGTCATCGTCTCATTCCACGATTCGCGATCTTGGCTTGTTTTGCTTAACTGCTTTGGTTTGCGCTTTTGTTTTGGGCTCTCCATTCGCCTTTACCAGTTGCCAGTTGAGAGTTGCGAGTTGCGAGTGGTTTTTGTGGCGTTTCCGTTTATGAAACGCATTTTGGTCTGTTCTGAAATTATGTTGTATTGCTCTTGTCTTATGCTCGCTCAACCAGATGTGCAAGAGAGTATATGGCGCTGTGTAGGCGGTAGTTTTGTGTAGACTGCTGAGGAATATATGGATCTATGGATCTATGAGAATTCTTAATTAATATTGGTATAGACATATTTATATCTATATACGCAGAAGATGGCAGAGTGAGTATATCAGGGTTTGTAGATGGAGATTTTGAGTGGGTTGCTAAGCATTCTATGAATTTGTTGATTAATATAGATTTATTATTGGATTGATATAGATAGAAGATATGGGGTTTTTGTAGACTTGAGTTAAAAGACTTAGGATATTTAGGATATAAAATTTATGAGATTCTGAGATGAGATATAGTTATTTGATGCTTTGAGCTTTAGAGGCAAGATATCTTTATATTTGCCAGCATTGAAGATCTTCTTAAACTCTATCATTTCGCATAATATGCCAATTATAATAGATTTTTATTAAAGTTCTAAGAGTCTTAATCAAGTATAAGCTGGCTAACCAAATTGAGTTTTAAGATTATATAACTATGGATGAGAATAAACAATAGTATATATATCTAGCATAATCTGAGTAGATCAAATAAAATTAAGAATTGAAAGAAGAAGAAATCCATTGAGAATCAAAAACTCTTAAGAAATGCAATTTTTTTGCCTCTTTTTCGTACTCATTAAAACTTTTTTCACTCACTACCTGAATTCCTCGAAATATATACAAATAATTCTCTTTCGGTGCACACTGCAAGCGCGCATAACGCAGTCGCTTACAGCCCACTCTGGTTCACACTTGATTTTCCCACTCCGTTTTAATGGACTTCACGTTAATTATTGATGACTCTGTGGTTTTTCTCTCTTCATAATTGAACAATTTGTTGAGTCGCTGCGGCTTATTTCAAAAGTTATTGATTATCAAAAAAAAAAAAATAGAAGTAAAACGCAGCTTGAGCTATTAACCCCGCCCCCGGCCCCTACTTACCCTTAGTGCCAGCCCTAACTCATAGTAAGTGGAAACAATAAGTTTTCTTTCATTTCTCAAGAATTTCTTTTTTCTTTTCTTTTGTTTTGTTTTGATTTTATTTGTATTTTTTTTAGTGTTTTTTATTCTTGTGTATTTTGTTTTGTTGTTCGTTTGTTGTTCTTTGTTACCCTTGCAGTTGTTTGTTTGTTTTTTGTTTTTGGTTTTTTTTTTTGGCTTGTGGCTAAACACACACACGGCTTTAAAATGCTGTTGTTTATATATATATATATATATATATATATATATATGTATGATCGAACTGAACGATCATAAGTACATAAGTATTTCGGGTATACAGGTGTTTTGAAGATAAGCTCGATTCACTTGCTGCAAATCGGCGCTGACTGCTCTGAATATTATCTTTAAAAAATGCCATTAATTTGTTTTCATTTTTTCTCTAGATTTTTAGTTATGATTTTTGTTGTTTTTTTTTTTTTGTTGACTGCTGTTCTTATATTATATTTGTTTTTTTTTTTGTTTTGTATTTTTTTTGTGAATGAAGTCATGCTGAATTAATTTATTGTATAACCTTATAAATTAATTAATTAATTTATAGTCACAAAATAAAGCTATAAATTTGTATTTTTCTTTTGTTTTTTATTGAATTCATAAACTTATTTAGCACATCTCGCAACTGTGAAGTTCTACTATCCAAATATTTCATCTATTATAATTAGCAACAACACAACCAAATCGATGTAGTTTCTTTTTCTTCTCCACCCACCCCCTTCCCCTGCCCCTTCCTTTCGTCATCCCCTTCGACCCCCTAACAAATGGCAGAACACAGCAAAAATTCTGAGCCAAACTCAAAGCGGACCATAAACCAAAATCAAACAAGAAACAATCGAAAGTCGTAAGCTATATTTGGATTATATATGCTCTCCTTGTATGTGTGCTATGCTAAGAAGCAATAAGTTTCATATAATATAATATTATTATTAAATAACGTTTTCGTTCTCTCACTTGGCTAACTAAAAAATCAAAAAATCTTCAACAATTTGTTAATGCATAAATTTCTCCTCGTTTAGTTTTCGTCTATCATTCATTTTTTTTGCGTCTTAGATGAAACCCCATTTTTATGTTTATTGTAATTATTTAATGTAATTATGTAATGAATAAATTTCTTTATTTTTTATTTTTCGGTTTTTCTTTTTTAATAATAAAATGCGCAATAATGCTTCGAAATGCAATTAGGTTGTAAACTATGAAAAGGAATTTTGTAAATTTGTTTATAATTTTATTTGGTTTGTTTTTAGGAAAATTAGTAGAAAAAATCTAAGAGAAAATCGCTAACAAAATGAATTTTGTGTTTCACATGGAATTGAATTTCCATTAGCAGCATGAAGTATGTTTGTTTTTTTTTTTTTTGTATGGGATTTTTGCTCGCAGTTGGAGCGACAAATAGCACATTAACTAGCGGCTTATAGACACTCAATCAATCAATCAATCAATCATTGATACACTTAAGTAAGTAGCCTAGTTTCATTTGGTTTTTCGTATATACTCGTAATTATTACTTTTCGATTTGAGTGTGTAGTGTAGATAGGTGTGTGTGAGTGTGTGTGTTAGTATGTGTGTGTTGACACAGAACATTTGTCTGTCAATATTATTTTTGGTCTTCTCTTGTACACATCTAATTGGTAACTAATTAAGTTATATCTAGAATTTTTTCTTTTTTACTTCCTTTTTTTTCTTTTTTATATATCTAAATTCATCGGTCTTCGATCACTTAAGCCTGCAGTGCGTTCCCATATTATGGGTTTACCAAAAATCATCGCTTAGTTCTGCTACAGAACTTACTCTACAGCGTCGTTTAGAATTCATCATCATCATCTGTGTGTCTCAACTCAAATGTGATTTTCAGCATTCGTTTTATAGCTTGGCAACTAACTAACATTAGAATACATTTAGATCTTTCAGTTAAGAGTAACTTTATATATAGTATATTAAATATATATATATATGTATATATATATTATTTTATACCCAATGCCATATTACATATAATATTTACTAATATAGTAGTACAATATAATATTGCATTAAAAGTTCTTCGACTGTTTTTGTTCTTCTTCTCTCTATTTTACTATTGTTTTTGTTTTTAAATTTTTTAAATGTAATTTATGTGTATGTTTTTCTTCTTCTTTTTAGTATTTTTTAATGTCTGTTGTATGCTGTGGCAGTTCTTTTCCAATAGTACAAATATTTTGCATATATCTTTTTTATGGTTTTAAATATTATTTTCAATTTTTAAAGTAAATCGTTTCCCATATACACATCTAGTAAATTTTTGTTTGTCAAATTACAATTAGCAAATATTACAATACGCTAATTATTCATGTTAATTTCAATTTCAGTTTTAAATTAAATTATTTTGTATAGTAATTACCGTTATGTGTGTGTGTCTGTGTCTGTGTCCGTGTGTTGCTGTGTTTTTTCTAGTTAATTATTTTTTGGGTTTTTTATTTTGATATTCTCTAATTGAATCCTTAGAAAGAAAATATTTACAATGCTAATTACATACAATGCGCATGGATTAATAATTCATCTTTTTTATTATTAAGTTTTGTATTTGTTTATCTAATTATTAAAATTAGCGAAGATAAACTAAACTCTAATGATGCTATATACCCATGACTAGCTCTATCCGTATGCCAAAAAGTTGTCGGTTTATATATGTTTATATATAGAATTAGATAGTGTGAGTGTGTGTGTGAGAGAGAGAGAGGATTACAGCTAGAGCTGTTAAATAACAGTTTATATGGTTCGACTCCATGAGCTGCTTATCGGAATATCTATTAAAGCTTCTCCGAGTTCGACTAATTTAATCGCTTAATTAGCTTAGCTTACGTTTAAGTTGTGTTTTCTTTTGAATTTGAAATTTGGTTTATTTTTATAGTTATTTTTAGATATTAGCTTTATGTACATATTGCATTGACCTATGCAGACCTTTGTGGCAGTGCCCTTTAGTGGGGGTGTATGGCATTTTGTAGCCTGCACTTTGCGCTCTTTTGTCTCTAGTTTGTTCATACTCCCATCTCAATTCTCTTCTGTACTACAGCGAGCAATATTTGTTGTTGTGGCTGTTCTTGTTGTGTGTTGTTGTTTGTGTTGCATTGTTGCTGGCGCGTTGCATGCGTCGCAAGATTTGACCAGTTTGTCGCTGTCGCTGCTGCTGCTGCTGCTGCTGTTCCTGTTGCTCCTCCCTCGTCATGTTGCTGTTGCTTGTGCTAGCAGCTGCTGCTCCTGTTCGCGTCGGGGTCAGTTGGTTAGTAAGGCAATTTGGCAATATTTCAACCGCATGCACAACAATCACACACACACACAGACTCACGCACACACGCACATATATAGAAACAGTAGAAAACACATGTACAGCATATTGTGGGCGTATGGGGGCGTGACACACACAAACACAGTGAGATTGACAGAGTAAAAGCGAGACAGAGAGAGATACAGTGAGACAGAGAGACACAGAGAGAGAGAGACAAAGAGTATGATGCAAATTCTTATGAGGCGCATTTCGTTGTGGGCGGCTGTGCTCCACGCCCCTTTTTTTGTTCAAATATATATATATATATATATATAATATATATATTGTATGTTTTCTTTTGGATTTTGTTGTATGAATCATGGAGTCATGAGGAACATGATATGTACACCATACCGATCGGCTGATGCTGATGGGGCAGCACGCTCCCGTGTTATATGATACTCTCGCGATTCCGTTCCAGCTCCTCGGCTTCGTTGTCTGGGTCCACGCTGGACGTGGACGAAACGCCACAGATTTGCATTTCAATCTCGGCTAGACGATTCTCCAAATCCCATTGCTGCTGCGACAGTTTTGTGTTCAGAGCCTGATTCTCAGACTCAACGGTATGCAGACGTTCTCTCAAACGCTTTATCTCATCCTCAAGTGCCTCATGAGAGCCGAGCAGCGGCGTGGTGCCACCGCCAGCGCCACCCACGCCGGCGCCATAGCATTCCAGCTGCGAGCTCGAATCGCAAATGTGACCTGGCGGCGAGCAAGGGAGAGAGCGAGAGAGAGAGAGAGAGAGAGAGGAAAGGGAGAAATAGAGAGTGATTGGCATGAGTGGATGTTAAGACGTGGGCGTATGTCGGCTTACCTGTATGACTAGGCTGCGATTGCGGTCGCATTGAGTGGTGTGAGGTGGCGCGACTGCGTGGCCTCTCCTCGGAGCCGTGTGCACTGGGACTAATCGAACGCGGCGAGTCTGTGGCACGCACCAAATGCTCCGTATAACTGCGTGGACTGCAAGCATTTAGTGTGCATTACCTAGCGACAAGCCAACAATCAAGACTCACCTGTAGCCGTGTGAATGGGGCAGCTGTTGCTGCTGCTGCTGTTGCTGCTGTTGTTGCTGCTGTTGCTGTTGCTGCTGTTGATGTTGCTGCACATGATGCAGCATATTGACAGCAGCTGGTGGCAGCCACATATCCTCCAAAGTGGTGCGACCGCAGCTCTCCACCAATCCCGGCGTTGACTGGCAACGGCCCATGGCAACTACATTAAAGTATTTGACTGTGTTTTAAAATCAAAAACGTTCACACCGCAAAACAATTTTGGGGGGAAATTGGGAAACAACGAAAAGCAAAAGAAACAATCGATTTGTGTTATTCAGATTTAGGGGGCAATCGTATTTCGTATTCGTATTGGTATTCATTTTGATACACTCAGAGAAAAGTGCAAATTTTTCGTTTAAGATTTATTTAAATAATTTATTCCAAGTTTTCAAGTTTGATTTAGTTGTAGAACTTTGTGAACGTAAATATTTTTATTTGAAAAAGGTATTGAAACTTTTTATTATAATTGATTATCTTTTGTAAATTTTGTAAATATTTAGAATATTTTTTTGAAGCTTGAATTTCTTTTAAATAATTTTTTTGAATACTTTTTTTATCTAAAAATATGAACACATTTTTTTAAATAAATTTCTTTTTAAACGATTCTCTTTTACGTGCTTAAAAAGCAAAACTTAAAACAAGAATTCGTATAAGAATTTTTCTTCTTATATTTTATAATATTTTTTATATCTTTAACATAACTGAATAATACTTCATTTAATGTATTTTCTAATAGAACTTGAGCAAGAAGTTAGTAAATGAAAGTTGAATGTCTAAAATTGAGAATTTTCTTTAAGAACAATTTTCATAAAATTAGACTTTGTTTATTTTAAAAGAGTTTAAAGTTAGAACTTAAGAGTTTTCTTCAATAAAAGCGAAATTTTGTTCAGTTTAAAAGAGTTAAAAAGTAGCTCAATGTAAGCAGTCTTAATAGAGTAATTTTCCTTATTAATTAAAATTAAATAATAAATTAATAAATTAAGAATTAAATAATGAATTCCTTTTAAGAGGTATCTTCTACTAATTTAAATATTAATTCTAGTTTAAACTTTATATTTAAATAAAATTCTTATTATTTTAAAAAATGTATCAAAAACTTTTCCTACTTCAACTAACGAATTTCGCTCTTCAATTCGACACGTTGAACTGTTTCTGCTTCTTTTCTCTGAGTGTATGCACATGCACTGGTTTTGTGGTTTCAATTTGGAGTAGGGCGTGTGCTGTTCTGGGAGTTAATGACTTGATGAGAGAGTACTCGTACCTTTCTCCAGCGGCGCCTTTTTGTATTTCTCCAAACGTTTGACGGCTATCGACTCGAGGCGAACGCGTGCCGCCGGATATTCCTTGAGCACGTCCCACATGTCCTTTTTGCTGAGCACGAACAGATCGCTGTAGCCCACGGAGCGCACGCTGGCGGTGCGTCTGTTGCCTGTTGCAAGGTGCCACAAAGTGCCAAGTTGCAGCAAGTTGGCAAATGTGGCCAAGTTGCACGTTTGCGCGCGACAAAGCAATCGCAGAGAATCGGGGTAAGGGGGGGCATATAAAGTTTAATATCAATAACTTGCCAAAGGTATTTTTCGTTTGTTATTGTTTTTGTTGTTGCTGTTGTTCACTGTTGTTCTTATTGTTGACTGCACACAAACAAAGACAAAGACACACACACACACGCACACACACAGATGTACACATTAAAATTGCATGCCAACCAGGAAAGGTATGCAGGCAATTGGTTGCAAGCTGCACAGTTGAATTGGATTCAGATAGAAGACAGTTGTTGCAATTGGAAATTGGAAGTTGGGCAATTGGGTTGACAGTCTCACAGAGAGGGCATTTATTGGATGCACAAGTGCTACACACAGCTACAAAGTTAGGTTATGTCTCTACGTCCATCTGTCTGTTTGTCGCTTGTGTTCTGGCAACCATTTGCTACAATCAAGCAGCGAGCAGCGAACAGCGGCTATAACAGCAACAGTTTACTCAGCTCAGCAGCTAAAATTGTGCTTTGCATTTTTTATGGCATACTATTTGGAGCTATGAGCTATGAGCTGTGCGCTGTGCGCTGCGAGCTGCTGAGTTGCTCTTTCAGCAACAATTTCAATCTGAATACGTAACGATTTTTGCTGAATATTTACTGTCCTCTTCTACTTTTAAGACTTTTTAGATACTTAAGAGTTCAAGCCAATGGCTGTATTCAAATATTGTTAACTTCTCTTAGGCTAAGTGGTATAAACGTCGCTTTTCACTTAACTAGGTGGTAAATGAATGCAGTGCAGGGCGTTGCCACCTGGGTTTAGCTGATAAAGAGGTAATGACAATGTTGCATAGACTGGCCTCAAGTTTATTTGGTAACTTATGCATAACATACAGCCAGTTGATATGCTTTAATAATGCGCAGCGTTGCCACCTTGTCAAAACTAATGGGTTGTTAAAATACAAATTTATATTATGGCAATATCTTTTTAACGAGCTTAGAGTTTTAAGAGACGAGCATTAATTTTATGACAACGCTGAATATATTTTTAACAGCTAAACTGAAGCTATAGACATCTAGCGAAACTTCAATTTGCCAGCAGATATATATTTTTGCAATATAGAGCGTTGCCACCTTGTTTTATTGAACGCATGACAACAACAACTAAGCGAAGTTTACGTTAAAATTCATGTCTAATATGTCAGCAGTTGTTAAATATTTACAATGCACAGCGTTGCCACATTGTCTAACATAACGTGTAGCTAGTCATGGACTTGCCATTATTAATTTCCATCAACTTTTTGACAGCAACTCATTGACGAGCTTACAATTTGGACAAGAAACTGTTAAGTTGCTTGGGCGTTGCCAGACTACAGATATTACTTTACAACTTTGGCAAACTTTACTAAAATCTGGGAAAACTCTTAAAATTTCAGCGAAATTGTTACGTAAACTAAATGCAGAATGCATAAATTTTTGTACGCTTTAAAGTTGTAGCAAATGTTGTTAACTATTTAGTGTAATTGAATACAAAAAGTTGGCGTGCAAGTTGAAAAGTATTTTAGTATAAATATATATTTGTGTGTGTGTGTGTGTGGGGGGTGTGTGTGAAGTGCATGTTTAATTGTGGCAACAACATGACGTATACTTAATTTAAAACACTGTCAAACACAATTCAAAACGTTTAAATTACGGCCAGGCAAAGCAATACAACAACGACTCACACAGATATAGTTAAGAGAGACATGGAGACAGTGGATGGGTAGTAATTAGAGCTGAGTAGAAAAGTAAATTTAATAGACAATATTCGTTCACAACTACAAGAGAGAGAGAGAGAGAGAGAGAGAGAGAGAGAGAGAGAGAGAGAGAGAGAGAGAGAGGGGGAGGGAGGGAGGTAGGACTTTAGCACTAATTGAATTGTGTAGATTGTGGGGTTGTTTGATGAAAGCGCTTAAATCATGCAGGTAAACTAAACGATTCGATTTAGTTATCGATTCAAGTTTCGCAACAGCAGCAGCAGGTGACAACAGCTTGACAGCAACTTGGCCAATTGTCTGTCAAGCTGGAGTCAACGACTAATTGAGCCAGACGAACCAAAAAGTTTTAGTCAACTTTTGTCAGCCTTTTATCAAATGAAATTAAGTTGCTCAGTTCCTGAGTTGCTGAGTTGCTGCTGCAAATCGAATTAGGCAGCTGCAAGTCAAGTATGCAATGCCACACCCACACAGAGACTCATATAGACACATGTTATGCATGAGCTAGGATTAATTTTGTGCATTGTTGTTAATTGTATGCCACAAATAAGAGCTCTTTCTCTCTGAACATAATATATATATTTATTTATATATATTTGCAATTCCGAGCACGTGACTTATCGCTGCAATTTACGGTCGACTTGCGTTCAGTTTAGTCAATTTGACAACGCTTTAAATTGCACCCACTTGAAATTGTAATTTGGTTGCAAATAAAATCAAAATTTCCTTTGACAGCAACAATAAATTGAGCAATATTATTGCTGATTTAAGCCGATTTTATTGAAGTTTATTGCAGTTGTTTAATTTTGCGTTATATTTATGCACATATACATATATATACATAAATATATATATAAATAAATATATATATTGTATGCATGCAGGTGTAATAATTGCATTTGGCATTCATTAATTTTGTGTTCGACCAGAAGGGCATTTAAAAGAGACAGCGATAAGTTGTTTATAGCATTGTGTGTGCAAGAGAGAGAGGGAAATACTGTGCGTATGCGTGAGTGAGAGAGAAACTGTCTATAAAAGCGCATTGCATACCTTTAGGAGCGTGCTATGAAAACAATTTTTGGCACAAAATTGCAAAAATATGCGAAAGAAACAAAAATTGTTTTGCGCATGAAAACAGCATATGAAAAGGGCATAAAAAAGGAACAATAAAAACTTAAAATGTAATTTAACTACAGCTACAGCTACAGACGAAGCTTAATTACACTAACTAAGCTCAAAGTGTGCTGTAAAAATTCTGAACGGAAGTAAAGCTGCTTCTGGAAGCAAGCCCCAATATAAAGTGAATTGTTTTAATTGAATGAGTTGTAACTCGTTCATCTAAACTCATCATAAGATGTTCTGGCTCACACAAACAGCGAGTGTCTAGAGTATCTATAAGATAAGATGCTAAAATCTTTCAGTTTCTAGCTGCTCTAGAGAGCGTTCAGTAAGACAATAAAAAACTGCAGATAAATACTTAATTAACTTGAAATGTGTTAAATACATCTTATCTTAAAGTATTATTATTTGATAAGTCATATATTTAAAGTTAAATATTCTTGTGTTGGGTCAAGATTTGATTGATAAGCGACAAATTTGGTCAACTCATTAGGGCTATCATTAATAAATGTTAGCATATAATATTATATATAATAGTATATATATTAGTACCTAGCAGTATATATAGTAATATATATATTCAACTAGAGTTACCTAAGTAGAAAAGTTGCAAACATCTAGATATACTCTAGAGTCGAGTCTTAGTCAAACCGTGCCTTGGCAACTATGTAATGAATTACCTCAAATTGATAAGATATGCCAATTATAACTGTTATCGTTTGCCAAAAATAAGATAGTCTTAAAGATAACATAGCTTATCACTTATTAGAATTTTTATTTTTATTTTTATTTTAATTGCTGTTTCCATTTATAAGTAAAAATAAATATTTGTTTATGTTTTTTAAAACCAATAAACTGTGTAAGCGACTCCCGCTGTTAGAGTATAGATGAAAACAATTGAATTGTAAATATAAAATAAATTAAAAATAATATCAAAATATTTACTGAAATGTTTACGAATGTTGCGCTCTATTGAATTTTATGCCAAAGAGGGTAAAACTAATTAATTAATGTGAAAAATAATAGAGACAGTGATAAAGTGGATGTGAAGAGAGTGTGCGTGTGGTTTAATGCTAGTTAAGTTATTTGTGCCACTAAATGAAACGCTTGAAGAGCGCTGACTCAATTTAAAGTGAAGTGCAAGGGATTATTATTATGGGGACTTTTTTGGGGGTATCTGTATATATATATAGAGTGAGAGAGAGAGAGAGAATAGATATAGACGAGCATAAACACTTAGCTAGGAAACATGTATATTAAGAATTATTGATTAAAAACTGGTTGAGTGTGTTTTATGGCTAATTGCTGTAGATGTTCTTTATGTTTGTTGTTGTTGGTAGTTACATAAATTCATTTTGTTTGTTTGTTGCTATTGTTCCGCCTGTCGCACTAAAACGGGATATTTACCAAGTTCTTTACCTGCGGTGCCCATATTCAGTATACTAATTTCGCCGAAATAGGAACCTGCCTTTAACGAGGCCATCACCGTTTTGCCATTGTCGGCAACGACCTGCAATCGTCCACGATTCACAATGTACATCTCCTTGCCCACTTCGCCTGCAAAGAGAGAGAGAGAGAGCGAAAGAGTTATTAAGTTTTAAATATATGTATAAATACGCTGGTCAGTTACCTTTGCGGCAAATGTAATCGCCCGGAGAGAAGAGCACGGGTCGCAGTCGCAGCACCAATTCGCAAAGGAAACCCGCTTCGGTATTTTGAAAAATCTCAACCCGCTTAAGTGTATCTAAATGGACGTTAATTGCTATTTCAGCCTGCAAAACAGAAACAGATACAGAAAGAGAAACAGTATTAGGAGCAAAGTTCGGCTCTGTTACACAGAGCATTAAAGGACAGCCGAACGAACAAAAGAAAAGCAACAAGAGGAAAAAGAAAGTAAAAGGAAAACCAGGCAACATGCCACACCAAATGGACAATTCGTGTTGCCACAGCAGCTGCCTACAAAAAAGATGTAGAAGGCGCCGGGTGGCCGTGTGGGCGTAGTGTACCTGGGGCAGATTATTTACCTTTAATTTATCAGGAAGACAGGATACGGCGCGCTCCTCGTCTGAGCACTTTTGCGTGAGCCACAGGTAATCGAACCATTTGATGACCTTCACCTGCAGATGATTCGGAACACGCCGCATGCGCATGTACGTCTTAACTCCATCCAGTTTGGCTGCAAAAAGCAATAGTACTCGATACATATACTATACATATATATATATATATATATCTATCTATATCTCGTTACATATATCTAAATAAAGTAGCTTATAATATATGCACGCTTGTTTGCGCTGTGGATTACACGCAAATCGAAACGCTTGCCGCATACAAATGTCGAATGACCAGCGGCGTTGGATGGTGCACCACCAAAGCCAACCAGCCGAACCATCCCAGCCACCACTAATCGCTACGGCTTCAGACCAAATCAGCGTTTTGTTCTGCATAAATTTCATTATGCGCCAGCACTGCGAGAAAAAACTGTGTCATGTGTGCTTCAATTGTGATTGCTTCAAGTCGAATGCTGTCAGTTAAGCATTCTCATTCCCAGTTTCGTGCACAAATTTATATAAAGTATATATAATTCTAAGCTGCCTTTTTTCTGTCAGTGTAAATGCCATTTATGCTTTGGCTGATTAGCTAAAAGATTCTACATGAAAAGAAATTCAATTGGCAACACCTGGCGTATGCGTAATATTAGTCTGTAATTAGTTATGGCTATTTGGAAATGCTTTCTGCTTTTAGTAATTTGCGAATGCTATTGAATATAGATAAAAAATATATATATTTATATATGTCTATATTATAACTCTTGTTGAGCACGAAAATTGTGCTAAATGCACAATCTGAACAATGTTGACAGACGGAATTAGCGAAACTTACAAACGTTTGCGACACCGAAGTGCAGTTGCGAACTTCTTTGTTTTATTCTCAGGTCTGTGTGTGCGTTTGTATGTGTGTGTGTGTGTATTTGAGTGGATAACCAAGCGGTGCTCGATGAGAGGAAATTAAATCTCTACTTGGCTCAACGTCACAGGCAACAAATATTGACACAATTTGTCGATTGACAACTGCGGTTGGCTGTAGATATTGGTGGTGGTGCCGATGTTGTTGCTGCTGCTGCTGCTGTGGTTGTTCTTGTTGTTGTTGTTGGTGGCACATTGACAGACAACGGCTGAGAGCTTTCGCCATGGGTGGCAGGAGCGGTGCCGAGTTTTGTTTGCTCGTGTAAACATTAGCAAACCAACTGGCAAACAAGCAAACAGATTGAAAACAAATAAATAAAATTGCTTGTCGGCCCAGCAGGCACAAACGCCGAGCCAAGCCGAGCCCAACTCCCAACAGAACTTCTACTAATTTTGCAGCTCATCTATAATGCAAGTGAAGCCGCCGCATTTCCTTGTCTTGCCACTTGGCCCACATTCATTCATCATAGCATCATTTGTCCAACTCAATGCCTTGTCGCCCAATCAGTCAGCCAGTCTGTGTGAACAGGTTGAAACGTTCGACCAATAACAATTGTGTCGGGTCGAAAAGTTTCGCTAGAATTATTATTGCAGTCGGCAAATAACATTCAGCAGGAAAATAGCTTGAATAAGGCTCAGAGCAAACTTGTAAATGAAAAAGCAGACTGAAAGGTCTCGCATAGCGTAGATTTTAGCCACCTTCCTGGGCCATGAGTCAGCCCAGAAATATGTTAGCTAAATATAGAGAGTTATCTCTATCAAACAAATAGCTTCTCAATTAAATTATTCAACTTCCTTATATTGCCCACTATTAAATCGGTTTATCAGTTAATTCCTGTGAAGTCTTCTGGGGTTCCATTTGCCAAGATAAGCAATAATTTATGGCGAAGTCTTTTGCGCAAGACACGGGTCAATCAAAAGTGAAACCTGCTTATCATATCGCTAAACGAAACAGGAGATAAGCAGAATAGTAACCAGTATATAAGCAGCAAATCCATCGATAAATTAGTTAGTAACGAATTCTAGTGACTTTCTGAAATGTTGTGGCATCAACTAATTACCGTAGCCATTGTGGCCCTCGCCTGCACCCAGCTGCACATGGCCAGCAGCCAAACAGCTGGTGTCAACAGCTGCCCGAAAAACTTTACTCTGGTGGGCGAGAAGTGTCTGCAGAGTGTAGCCAGATGGTACAATTGGTTCGAGGCCGATCGCAATTGCCGCTCCATTGGCGCCGGCTTGCTCAGCCTGAACAACAGCCTGGAATTGTACTTGTTAGCCAATTGGTTAAATATTGACTTGCCATACACCTTGGAGCTGTGGACCTCGGGCAACTTACTGGGCAGCTCGAGCATCTACTATTGGCAGAATACGGGCCAGCAGGCACGGTATCTACCCTGGGCCAAAGGCCAGCCAAAGCCAAGTAATGGCGACTGCCTGATGCTCGCTGGCACCGCTAACCAGGGGACCGTTGCTAATTATTCCCTGGAAGTTCGCAATTGCGCCAACTGGGCTATCTCTGTCTGTGAGCTGCTGCCGGCTAAAAATGTGACCACTACACGTATCTGCCTCAAACCTGATGCCTATGAAACGGTTCAAGTTCCCAGAAATTAATTTAAAAAAAATATATTAAGAAGAGAATTTTGGGCTGAAGCAAATCTCATACAAATATGTAAAGTTCGAAATTGTTTTGAATTGAAGGAATTCGCACTAAAATAAATAATAGAAATAAATCCGCATTTAAAACAGAAAACTTTTACTATATTTTCATCAATTGCATCATGAATTTATATCGAAAGTTTGAATTTGCTAGTCGAGTTTGATTGACCACATTAATTGGAAATTCACAAATTTGAATATTTTGTTTTAGATTTGCTTTGCCACTAATCTACATATTCATATGCGGCCAGGCAAAGGGACAGACAGACTTGGCTGTTGATCTTGTTTTAAGTATGTGTATGCCTTGTTTACGACATTCGCAGAACTCTCCCAGGCTTAATTCATGTTTTCAATAATAATCTGGTCAAATTCGAAATTTCTGTGAATTGTTTTTTGTATACTTAGTGTTATCATTGAAGTGTAAACTTTTATGCAGTCTTCCAATTGTTAATTGATCTACTTTATCGATTCCATTATCATGTTTAGGATTATTCTTATCTTTACCGCAGCCCTGCTATAAAAAGGTCGCTCCACGCCCTCTGCTTAATGAGTAATAGAAGAAATGTTGTGGCATCAGCTGTTGGTCTTTGCTATAGCCAGTCTGTCGCTGGCGCAGCTGCATTCAGCGAAGCACGTCGATGCTGCGGCTGGTGAATGCAGTGGGAACTTCACTCGTCTAGGCGACAAGTGCCTGCTGGTAGTCAGCAAGTGGGGCGATTGGTTTCAAGCCGATCGCGACTGTCGCTCCAGAGGAGCTGGTCTGATAAGTCTGCAGAATGAAACCCAGTAAAATCTGCTCATCGGCTGGCTGCACGTAATGGCTCCCTACACAATGGAATTCTGGACCTCGGGCAACAATTATGGCAATGCTACTCAATTCTACTGGCAGAGCACGGGTCTGCTGGCTAACTATTTACCCTGGGCTGATGGCTCACCAAATCTGAACGATGGCAACTGCCTGACGCTCTATGCCGCCACCTACGCCAATTGGGGCGTGGCCAATTACCGATTGGTGGTCCGAGATTATGACTACTCTTGCGCCCACATCTGCGAGCAGCAGCCGCAAAAGAAGGAGAAACACAAATGCTTTTGGTGAATGCAATAATTAATGACGGAAACTAATTAAACTGCTCAGCTGAATTTCAATTAAATAAAATTCGATTGATATGAAACCCGAAATTCTGTATTTGTGTTTGGTTTTTGAAGGTGAAGGTAAGATTTGCACCGTATGTTATATGTCATATGTTATATGTTATATGTTATATGTTATATGTTATATGTTATATGTTATATGTTATATGTTATATGTTATATGTTATATGTTATATGTTATATGTTATATGTTATATGTTATATGTTTATGTTACTATGTTATATGTTATATGTTATATGTTATATGTTCTCTGTTATATGTTATCTGTTCTCTGTTCCTGTTCTCTGTTCTATGTTCTCTGTCTCTGTTCTCTGTTCTCTGTTCTCTGTTCTCTGTCTCTGTTCGCTGTTCTCTGTTCTCTGTTCTATGTTCTCTGTCTCTGTTCTCTAGTTCTCTGTTCTCTGTTCTGTTCTGTTCTCTGTTCTCTGTTCTCTGTTCTCTGTTCTTCTGTTCTCTGTTCTCTGTTCTCTGTTCTCTGTTCATCTGTTCTCTGTTCTCGTTCTCTGTTTCTCTGTTCTATGTTTCTCTGTTCTCTGTTCTCTGTGTCTCTGTTCTCTGTTTCTCTGTTCTCTGTTCTCTGTTCTCTGTTCTCTGTTCTCTGTTCTCTTTCTCTGTTCTCTGTTCTGTTCTACTGTTCTCTGTTCTCTGTTCATCTGTTCTCTTCTACTCTATATCATAATATATGAGATCTGGATAGATATATGTTATATGTTACATTTGGCTCAGTCAGTATACATTGTGTAAGCTTAGATCAAATTTAAGTTGGCCTTAGCCTAATCTTATAATTTATCTCTCTTCGCGTTGCTCACTCGCTCTCTCTTACACCCAATTACTCTATCTTTATTCTCTGTCTTTATTTATAGCTTTTCCAATGCTTTATAGCACACATTGCTCGCATTGAAGACATTGCATACTGTTGGGCTTATCCGTTTGCTGTTTGAAATACTTTGCATGCTTCGCCATGAAGCGTGTTACTTTGTGGGTTCTCTATTTTATTTGCCGCTCTTGTTGTTGTTGTGTTGTTGCTGCTGATTCTGTGTGAGAAATATTGCGTAAGCGATGCTGGCAGCTGTATCGGATATCGAGGTATCGATTATCATACTTCCCTTTTCCCCACCAGAAAACATAAAAAACTTTACTCATTGGCAACGAAATGCAACCAAGGATTATTGCATGGCAACGCGACGAGCGTCTTGGCAGAAACACACTCACACACAGCCATAACCATTACATACAACGGATATATGCTCTTGCTGATAGCAGAAACACACTCAACACACACACACACACATATACATATATATATATATATATGTATGGATGTTGAGGAGCAGCAGGGCGACAGTATGCAAAATTACAGCGATTTTTATTGCGGTTTGACTGCATGACACCGCTAACATTCCGGCAATGAAGCTAGCGACGTGAGGGTCTCTGAATGGGGCGTAGCTGTGTGTGTTAGCCCTGTTAGAACTGTTTGTGCATGTCACGTTACGCTTTCTGAATTCTTTTTTAACAATTGAAAATCAATCTAAATATTAATTGCATAGTCCATGAAAGAGAATTTTATTCAAATCGAAATTCCCAAAAATAATAAAGAATTTCTATAGATATATATATATATATATATATATATATATATATATATATATATATATATATATATATATATATATATATATATATATAGAAATATATATAGAGATGTATTTTCATTGTCTGGCCTGTTCTCGGCTCAATAACTGTGGTTCGGTTGTTTATGTAGCAATTATTTGAGATTTAATTTCTGCTCTCTGTGGCTGCTGCTGCTGCTGCACAGTTTTATCCTCAGCTGCATTTCGTTCTGCTTTCAACGCATTTTTCCATTCCGTTGCATTTTGCCGACACAAAATTTAATTTGCCATTTTGCCCCGAAGTAAGCCACAGCGCTGGGGCGTGGCTAGCCAAGGGGCTTGCGGTTGGGCTGGGGGTAGCACGCGGCATTGGGGGTTGTTGGGGTTTTTGTAAACTGCATTTGGCTTCACATCTTGGCCGCACACATTTTTCTTCAGATTTGCCATCGTCGTCGTTATTTTTCCTTCGTTTTTCATATTTATTTTTCATTTTATGCTCTGCTTGGCCACAGTTGCCACAGGCGGATTTTGATATGCTGCTGCTGCTGCCGTTGTTGCATCAGCGTGTGGCGCACACATTTTTGTGGCGCCTGGCCACCTTGAGCACTAATCTGAGACCATAATTGCATTTAGAGTTTTAAGAGCTCAATGGGCAACAAAAATTGTGACCGCTGAGCTAAAAGTCGTCCGACAGTCTGGCAATCAAGACAATTGTCGCTGGGCTTGGGATTAAGTGCGTGTTGCACAAGAAAACAAAGAAACTGCACAAAAACAGAAAAAGAAGAAGAAGAATGCCAAGTTGGCATGTGTGAGTTTTTGCCTTTTGTGGCGCAACAATATAAAAATCTGGGGTGCAAAAGTTCAGGCCATTGTCTGGCGAACAAACTGTAGCCAAGTTTTTTTTTTGTGCAGCAGGATGCAGCAGCAATGGGGGGAAGTGTGGGCGTGGCATGAGTTTATACAAACAGTAAATATGCGTGACAAAAACTTGCTCTTCCTGCCTTTTCATAAGCCCAAGACAAAAAAGCACATGAAGCATGCTGATAGCCCGGGTTATATGGTGTTTGGTCTCTGATATATATATATACGTATGTATGTATGTGAACAGTGTGGGTAACTGGCCAAGTGAAAATTGCAAACTAACTAGAAACCACTTAAGAGCGACGCTGATGTGCATGTGCATGCACGCTGAGCTAAGAACAAAGAGCTCTGACTATGGGAAAAACAAAAAGTTCTTGACGGAACTGCATTCAAAAATGAGTAGAAGTTAATGTCGAAGAAAAAATAGCTTAATATTGAGCTGATATGTTATGGGAAGTGATTCGAAAGTAGTTTCGGACGAACAATACGTCAATTATATGAGCTTAAAAGTGAACTGAAAGAAATTATCTGTTCATAACTTGAGTGTAAGTTCGTAAGTTTGACAGCCTCAATTTGATTTATGGGCTATTAAAATATTTTTATTGAATATATTCATATATTATATGAATATTTGTACTTCTAATCTAAATATATTTCATATATTTCATTAAACTTAAAGTGGATTTCGCTTCAAGTTTTTTTTTAAGAAATATTATTTTTTAAGAAATATATATCTCGTTATAACTCGAGAACTTTAAGGCTTATAAAGCTTAAATTTGTTATGTGGGCTATTATAAATATTCTGTAAGCTTTTCTCATGCTGCTTTCCCTATATTCAATAATTTTTTACTGTACAGTTATTGCCAAACTTAACTTTTAAGAAATCTTTGACTTAAAATCTTAATTTCAGTATGAAAATATTTGTTTCTTCCCAAGTTTTCTAAAATAATTTCGAGTAGTTCCAAATATGTAAAGTAAAATTTCGATGTAAATTTAAAAAATTTAAAAATGCATATATAAATAAATACATAAATATATACATTTAAATTTCAAATATACCGTTCACCTCAGAGCTATTTGCAAATGCATTAAATATTTAAGCAACAGCATAGGGTGCGGGTGAGACGAAGAGGAGAAATGTCTTAAAAGCTGAAATAATTTAATATAGCTGAAAAGCCTTGCTTAAGCACTTACAGCGTCCGTTGTAAAAAACCTGATTGGTTGAATTTTCTTATGCGCACTCGTCTAAAGTTTTCCAGAAAAACCAATTTGTATCATTAATTATGCATATGCGGTTACCGCTGGAACACGCGCACTTGATGAAGTGCCTGATGATGTTGAATGCTGAATGTTGAATGTTGTTGTACGCTGTACGCTGTACGCTGTATGTTGAGTGTTGCAGTGTAAGTATGTTTAATGCTTGATGCTCTCGTAGATTTGTTCGGGCGGCAAACAAATATAAATGCGCTCCGTTAGCCAGCGATGCAATAACAATAACAATAACAATGCGCATGCCAGCTTCAGCTGCAGTCAGAACATTCGCCCCACATCCTTGGCAAATTCGCTTTTCAAGGATAATGGAATATTTTGCCCTTAAAGAGCAGCTACATGCATGCCACACAATGCCAGCAGCAGCAACAACAACAGCAACAAGAAAACAGCCATGTTCTAAAAATACGACGGTAAGTTGGCGTACATGCAGCTTAATGGGCAAAAGCGGCCAACAGCGGCGACTGCGTCTACAATATTGATTGGAATACACATACACACACACACACATACATTCACACATAAATACACATAGTTACACATAGAAGCGCACTCACGGTTACAGTTGTAGGGCATAAGCAGCAGCAGCAGCAGCAGCAAACATAAACACACACAGAAATACACAGCTAGAAAGACCCACACAAACACAAACACACACACACTTACATACGCTAGACGGGCGACGAAGCATTGCTGTTGCTTTTGTTGTTGTTGTTGTTGTTGTTTCGCTGTGGCAAGCGAGAGCAAACAGCGAAACGAACAACAACAACTAGCAGCAGAAACCAACGAAATTCACACACATACACGCTCACCAATACTGGGAAAGCGGCCAAGTTAAAGTGGATAATGGACGCTGCCTTGACTGAAGACTGAAGACTGAGGCAAAGGCAAAGGCAAAGGCAATGGCAAAAGGCAAAAGAGCGCGCCGAATGCGAATGCGAATTTGTACGTCCCTCTCTTTTAACTCGTGCGTACGTCGCTCATTTCTATTTTTAGACACGCGCTCATTGTGCGAGAGCAAAGGCAACAGCAACAACAATTGCTGCAAGTAAAACGTAAAAAAAAAAACTAATAAAAATTGAGAGCGAAAGAGTGAGATGGCAAGCGGTGAAACGGGTTCAAGTCAAAATGGCTGCACGTAAAGCACTACAAATCTCAAAGTACAGAGTCAGTGCCCAGCAGGAATATATATGTATGTATGTATGTGTGTGAGAGAGTGTGCTGGTGTGTGTGTGAGTAAATTGAGCGCATAAATTGTTTTAATTGCAGTAAACAACTGC